GAGGAGGAGGAGGAGGAGGAGGAGGAGGAGGAGGAGGAGGAGGAGGAATCTAGGCAGGCGGGAGATGCCAGAAGACACAGAGAGGAAACAGGAGGTACAAAATGAAGGGAGGTAACACCACATGATAGACAGTAGATTAATATAAATGAGTTGATTTAATAATACGAACTAGTTAGGAACAAGCCTAAGCTAAAGGCCGAGTTTTCATAATTAGTGAAAAGTCTCTGTGTCATTGTTTGGGAGCTGGATGGATGGGACAGAAAAAGATTTGTTACCCGAGGTCCTCCTGTGCCAATCAGACCGGGCTCAGTGAGCCCTTAGACCTGCTCTACCCTAGGTCACCATGGACAGCAACCATGCAGTCAGCACTCAGGCTGTTTCCTGGGTATGTGCAGAACCAATGGGAACCTCTAGACGCTGGTTTTCTCCTAGCCCCCTCTTCCCCAGCCCCACAGCCCTGCCTGGCTGCCCAGGTGGACCTCTGTCTCCACACAGGTCCAGACTACAGACTGGGTATTCTCAAGCAGAGACACGAGAGAGTGAGTCCCCTGCACAGACTTGAAAGAGTCCCGATTACCTCTGGCAGGGTCCCCACTTCCCCCACCCTTTTTTGCATGCATATCCCTTAATGACTCCTCAAATTTGTCAAGTAGCCCTGTGGTATCTCCTGGATGGGAGAAGGCAAGAACTTCCTGCACAATGAAGAGTGGGGGTGTCCTTCAAACACTCCCCTGCACAAATGTACCCTTCTGCTCTCATGGTGTCTAGCTGAGCCTCAGCCTCGGCATCCTTTATCTTAGTGAAGATGTTAAAGATCACAAAACCACGCTGTATGAACTCTTCAATGGAGAAAGGTAGATAAAGGCAGCTAATGATTGCCAGAAGAGTTGGGTGGTGGCCAATGTGGAGGATGAAGCCGCCAAAGTGTCTTGTTTCTCAAAAGCTCTGCTGAGGATTTACTGCCTGCCTTCTTCTGGGCAGGGAAGGTTGGCTGTAAGGCTGCCAGCTTGCTCAAATAAAAAAAGGAGGCTACTGACCAAATCCAGGGGTGTCTCTTGGAGTTAGGCACAGCTGGTCTTCACAGGACCTGCAGATGGCTGCTGGGAAGCCACTGATTTGTGTCGATTTGAGCTGGACATTAGCCTGAAATTTTGGGTTAGTTTTTTATTGGGCAGGCTGTTTGAATGATTGAAAGTGATCTGGAGAAATGGGCACCCAATCTTGTCCAGTTTCTGACAGACTACTTGAAAGCAATAAGGCATCTCTAGACTAAAGCTGACTTCAGAGCTGGGGATGGCTCCGTGTTTAAAGAGCTTTCTCGGTAAACAAGAGTTCATATCCCAAGACTCATGTAAATGTGCCACCCCACCCCCAATTCTAGCCTTGAAAAATGGACATGGGATTCCTGGAGCAAGCTGGTAAGGAAGACTAGCCCTGTTGGTGAGCTCTGGGTTAGATAAAGAGACGCTGCCTCAACAGAAAAGAGGTAGAAGAGCCATTGAATAAGATCCCCTATATCAACCTTGGGCCTCCACACAGATCCATAAATGCACACATGTAAACATGTATGTACACCACATAGGACAAGGGGAAGGAGGGGGAGGAAGCAGGGGCAGTTGCAGACTTCACTGGGTACATCCAGGAAATAGTTACACACAGTATGTAAAAACACCTAACAGTATTGATTGTAAGTGTTCCATAACTATTAGCTCTGCCAACAGTAGTTACTATTATTATAATATCTAGTATTCCCACCCAGTCCCTGGTACATATTGAAAGTTAATCATGTGGATAGCTTTCCCTCAGCTAGACCTACACTGTGTGCTGAATTAATTCAGGTATAGGAGGAAAGGCCAACAGCTTGAAGACAGGTTCTTTGCACACCACTGAGAGACATGATCTCTTGAAGGTGGTGGGGATGAGAATTCACTTGACTCTATCGGACTCTAGTGCAGACACACCGGAATTCTGAATCTCTGCATAATGACCTTGAGCAAGAATCATTGGCAATGCAATGATGGAGAGAGAAGCGGAGGGAAGGGACATTTCAAGGTGACCCACTATGTGCCAGGTGCAATGGTGGCCTTTCCTATTGGTTATCTCCGTAAAGTAAGATGTAATAATGAACGGGTGCAAAATTTGACTTACATTTCTCCAAAAGAACACGATGCATTGTGTGAATGGGGAAGGCTTATATGAAGAGCCTCAAGCTTTTTTACTCCCAGTATAATTTTTGTGTAAACATAAAATGACAAGAGTTTAAAGACGGAACATCCCCGGGCACAAGCTTAAGAGTTCTGAATATAATCAAAATCCCCTTATTTATTTTCTTGCCTAAGTGGTATCTCCCAGGAGAACGGCAGTTGCAATTCTTCCGTTCCGTGCAGCAGCGGCTGCAAATTAATGTGCTCGGCCATCAAAACAGCTCTACGCACCTCTGCCAAGTGTAGTTATCTCATCCAATAATAGGCACAGCCTAGAGACAGCCGAGTTTGAAACCCGGATCTGAGAAAATCTGGGCAATTAGCCACTCTCTTGCAGAAATGAGCAAGGAGGAGCCGGGCTGCAGCAAAACAAAATCTTGTTGTGACAGCTGCTGTTCCGAATACTATTCCCTTTACGCTGTAGACTGTACTCACTCTGCCGCCCAGGGCAAGGGGCTGGAGGAGATGAGCAGGAGAAAGAAGGGGACCAATCGGGAAGTCATGAAGAATTAGCGTATTTTCAGCTTAGAGCTGGTTCAAGTTTATGATGTTAGCCAATAGGTATGTGTAACCCTAAGGAAGAGTCTGAAATTTATCATTTGAAAGAATTTTAACATCAAATAGACTTGAAGTGCATGAAATGAATGGTGGCCTGGAAGAGTCAAATCTGCACAAAAGCCTATGGAACCAAGCGACACCAGTACAAAAATCTATTGCACTTAGTCCATGGGTGTGTGGGTTAATTTTACATTACTGTACCTACAAGATCTGACAGAGACACTGCAGAAGAAATGACCTATTTTGGCTCTTGGTTATAGATTTCGTCGGTCCATCATGGTGAGGGAGCTCTGTTGGAGTTACAGTAGAAAGAACATGTGGTGTAGGACCCTCCCATCATGGTAGACCCAGAAGCAGAGAACACAAGAGGAATCAGAGCCCAGACACAACCATCAAAGATTCACCAGCCTCTCCAAATAGTTCCGCAATTGAAGAACCAGCATTCAAAACTGGGGCCTGTGAAGGACATTTCTAACTCAAGCAAAAACCATAGGTTTGTTTTGTTTTGTACCCTATGTTATTGGACTGGGTAGACCATTTTCGGTTTAGCAACTGCCCCGTGTGAACAACCGCTGTTCCAGAACAAACATTTCTTGGATCTTAGGGTTGGTGCATCTGGAATGATTTTACTTCCAAAAGACTTGGCTCTAACATGTCTGCTGGAAACAGGAGGTGAATTCACTATAAATGCATCTTCGTGAGTTGGTCTGTGAAAACTCTATGAGCCTTCTTTAAAAATCACTTCATCTTTCAGTACTTATGCTGAAGAAGTACAAAACAGAGCTGTCTTGCTGACTCCTCAGGTTATGTGAAATGTGGGCTCACCAGATCTGAAGATCACAGCTTGTGGGACATGACATCAGAGGCCCAAGACCCAAGGGAGATATCCCAGATCTGCCCGGGGGGCTCAGGGACAGTTCCCTGGAAGATTCTCTTAGCTGCTTGCCTGTATATTCACACCCTTCTAGACGTTTATTTCAGAAATAACATTTTACCCAGAGTAGCAAAGTGTGCAACTCAAAATCCCCGCCCACCCCACCCCAACTAGCTTGCAGCTGGGGCTGATACTTCATGCCCTAACTTGTGGGATACATCGTTTTATTGCTGCTGGTAATCCCCTCAACTACACACATGGCTCTAATCTTCATTTTATACACAGACCATCACATCACCGAGGAAATAGTGCTTTAACTGTGGCTCCACTGAGATAAATCAGACTAAGCCATCCTTCTCCCATACATTCTTGTCCACTTATCTGAATCGGAGTCATTTGAAGACAAAGCTCCATTTGAAGTGTGGCATCAGGCTCCTGGAGCTGGGGTAAGAGGCCCACCAGAATGAATGGGCTTTAAATGGGGAGACAGAGATAGTGATTTAGAAAAAAAATTGGATTTTATGAGATTTCAAATAATCTTCACCATTGACTACTTTAAAAAAAAACTAGAGTTTAAAGACATTAGAAAGTTTTTTTTAATTTCTGCATTTTCCAATTTTTTTTTGCAATGAAAATCTATTACTCTGTAACCAGAAAAGAAATTTTTTTGAGTACAAGAGAAGAATTTAGAGAGCAATGTGCCTTAAAATATAATTCTATTTGAGAACATTGGGCTTTACATAAAATAATATTAATATGAAAATAAATATCAGCTTTAGAATTTTCATCAAATAGGCATTTAAATGTCAGTTTGCTTTGCTTCTAACAAGCATGCTTTCCCAGTAACTGAAAGGTTTAACATCCAAGGATTTAATAATGTACTCTCTAAAATTCTCACTGATGTCATAATGTTTCTCCTCGGGGATGGACAAGAAAAGCCCATTGTCTTCAATTCTGGACTCCGCTTGCAGAAATGGTCTCGATCTTGTTGTTGGAAACAAGAAGTCTAAATAACTCTCAGCTAATGCTACTATGACATTTGGTCAGGGAAAATGTCCCAAGAGAAATGTAAACTATTTGAAAACATCCTGTTACTAAAACTTGACCACTAAAAATGACAAATGGTCTGGAAGCCACAGCTTGATTCTAAGCACGCATGAGCTTGGCTGCTGTGAACACATTTTCAGCTCATACTATTTTTTATGCTCTCCTCCGTAGATACTGCCTCTACCATCTGAAGAAAAATCACCTGACATTTATTACTTACCAGAGAGCAGGTTGGAAGCAGTCAGCCTCCTTGCTCTTGGTCTGGGGACAAGCTGGGTGAGTCACGGTGCCCTAGAATGTTGCTCAGAGTCATTCACCCTCGCAGGCTCATCCCTAGGGCTCAATTGCAGCCATCTGCCTAAGAGTTGTTAGTCTTTTCTGTTCCTTCTCCTCGACCAACTAAAACGCAACCGGTCACGCAAGGACTCCAAGAATGGCAGAACAAAATGACCGGACATTAAACCAAACTTAAAGTTTAGAAATCCCAGCTTTGGGCTCGGAGAGCTGGTGTCTCAGAAGATCTGAGGCAAGTGTTGAGGGGATATGGATTGAGTTTATGTTTACCTTCCAGTTGACCCTATTGATATCTGCATCCAGGATCCCAGGCAACAAAGGGGCATTATTTCTGCAACTTCCAGGCTTACAGTTCAGCTCATTTTAAGAGAATTTGTGCAATGTTTTTTTTTTGGCCTGGCTGGTTTCTTTATTGGCAGATTTACTCTTTCGGTATAATTATAAGGCAAAGGAAAACTAATGGGAAACCTGTGGCGCATCGACACGGCTATTTACAATGTATCATTGAGATGTGGGAAGAGAAGTCAGGGATGAGGCAATCTTAACTAGAACGTGACAAGAGATGAGGACTTCTGTGCTTTGGGTGATGAATTCTTGTTACAAACCACAAGGGACAATTTTTCCTTTGTTTTATGAAAAAAATTAAAAGATGGGAAATCGGGACAAAAATATCAGCGATCATGACTTAAAAGTCACTGGGCTGCAAGATATTGAAGTATATAGGGTTTTTTTTTTTTTCTTTGTCTGCTTTTCCCCCATCAAAACCCAGGAGCTGAGGGATTGTGTGTGGGAGAAATTGAATGGGACCCAGGATTATTCCCACATGGAGGACAAGCCAGTACCTCCGAGTATGGGCGAAGTCTGTGTTGGGCTATTTTAATCCTCGGTTCCATAGAGAGGTAGCCATAGAACAGTCTCAGGAAATACTGGGGGCATGGTGTGGGATGGGGTGGAGTGGACGGGACTGGAGTGGAGCGGAGGAACAGAGTGGAGCGGAGTTGGGTGGAGTTGGAAGAGTGGAATGGAGGAGGGAGGGACAGAGTGAGGTGAGATGGGGTGGGCTCTGGGTTTTCCTGTCCCCCCATGAGCAGCTGCTTAGAGTCTTAATAAGAATTATACATATGGTTTAGGACAGCCCGAAGAATTATAGACTAGAAAGCTGCCCTCGGCTGCCCTCATCTGTTAAACGAGGGAGGGGACCAAGGAGACCTCCTGGTGCCTTCAGGCCTCCATGGCAAGTCTGCTGTAGCTTCTTGTCTTGTTGACACTTCTGCTTTAAACAGCTCTCGGCTCAGATCTCCTCTGAAAAGCAGTTAATCTAAAACACTGGTCTGTGCAACGAAGGGCAGCTTTAAATAAAGTTATTTAAATAAAGCATGAAAAATATCTACTATAGACTTCTATCAAGAACAGGACTACTGGTAGTGATGATGTTACTGGAGGGGCATTTTTAACTGTGACAAGCTGTTCATAAATAAAATAGTTCAACATGATACCATAGTGTACACACACACACACACACACACACACACACACACACACACACACACACACACAGCCTAGCTGTGTAGCTCAAGGTGCCCTGGAATGTAAGAGTCTCAGAGTGCTGGATTCGCAGCTGCGCGTGACCATGCAGGCTGCTCTAGCTCTTTCCTGTGCCGCACAGCTAAAAAGCTGAAAGCTAGAGCCTTTGACCCCTGGAGACTGTGGTTCTGAATGCAATTTAGGTCCTGCGGTGAGATTAGGAAGGACAGCAAGGCAAAGGCTATCTTCCTGCAGTGGCACTGCCTGCCCACCAGGTGCTGCCATCTGTGACCACCTGCAGGAGCTGCATTCTATCAACTTTGGGAATGTGGGGTGGTGACTGTGGGTGCAGCGAGCATGGCAGCAATCTCGTTTCTGGTGGTTTCCTGAACTTCGTATCACGGCTTGTAGTGTGACCTTAAAGTCAATCATCTATCCTAGAGCCCTGTTGACATTCCTTCAGCCAATGACTTTGTAGACTTGCCCCATGTGTTTTATCCCTTTCTGTTTGGCATACCGAAAGCAGTTCCTTTCTGCGAAGGTTAATAATGGCTGTCAACTTGATGGGATCTGGAATCTCCTAAGGAACAAAGTCCCTGAGGCTATCTGTGGAGGGGTTCCTAGACTAGGGAATTGAGATGGGAAGACTCACCGTAACTGTGGCCTGGAGTTCCAGACTGAATAAAAAGAGGACAACCTGAGTATTAACATCCATCTTAGTCAGTGTCCTATTGCTGTGAAGAGACACCATGACCTCGGCAACTCTTATAAAGGAAAATATTTCATTAGTTTTAGAGATTTAGTCCATGATCATCATAGCGTCAGGACATGGCAGCATGTAGGCAGACATGGTGCTGGAGAAGGAGCTGAGACTTCCACATCTTGATCCGCAGGCAATAAGAAATGAACTGTGACACTGGGTGTGGCTTGAGCATAGGAGACCTCAAAGCCCTCCTCCACAGTGACATGATTCCTCCAACAAGGCCACACCCACTCCAACAGGGCCACACCCACTCCAACAAGGCCACACCCACTCCAACAAGGCCACACCCACTCCAACAAGACCACACTTTCTAATGGTGCCACTCCGTATGGGGGCGTTTTCTTTCAAACCACCACAACATCCACCTCTCTCTGCTTCTTCACTGCAGATGCAATGAAAGCAGCTGCTTTGCCCTCCTGTCGCTGCCTTCTCCTCCGTGGTGAACTGTGGCCATTCTTAAATAGTGACCCAAGGTAAACACTTCTCTCTTGAAATGGATTTTGTCAGGCATCTGTCACATCACCGAGGGAAGTAACCAGTGTGCTCTTCTCCCTCCCATGCTCCACAGAATCCTGGGAAATACACCCCCTCTGCAAACTGAATCTTCTCTGAGGAGCCTATAGATCTAACTAACAATGGAATCCACTCATAGATCTTCCTTCTGTCAGAACAGACCAGTGGTAAGAGTTGGGAAGGACCTTTTTGGAAGGCTAGAGCATGAGGAGACCTGGGGAGGGCCATAGGGCCTTTATTTCTCATGCTAGCATCTCCTGGAACAGTTCTAAAGGAAAAAGAGCTTCATATCCCAATGGGTTGCTCTGAAGACATGAGTCTTTTTCTATGGGAAACGCTGTTTTTTATTTTAATTATTATGTGTATGAGTGTTTGATTTGCATGTATGTCTGTGCACCGTGGTGCCCACAAAGGTCAGAAGAAGGTGTCAGCTCCCCTGGAATTGGAGTTACAGTTAGCTACATGACAGCTTATGTGGGGTGCTGGGAACTGAACCTGAGTCCTCCGCAAGAGCAGCCACTGCTCTTAACCACTGAGCCATCTTCCAGCCCTAGGAAATGCTATTTAAAAAAAAAAGAGAGAGAGAGATCCATGATTTTACAACTAAAAGAAAGAGTGGTAATACAAGGGTTCATCCTATGCACCCCTTTCAGGAGCCAGCATATTTCCTGTGGCTCCATTCAAGGGCAGAATTCCACAGCCTTCCGGTTTCCGATAGGCCCAGCCTATCTGTAAAACTGCCGGGCAGCTGTCACCATCCTTTCCAGGCTAGCAGCCCCTCCTTTCCTCCTTAAAAATGTGTAGCCATCTGTGCTGGTTAGTTTTATGTCAGCTTGACACAAGCTAGAGTCACTGGGAAGGAAGGAACCTCAACCGAGAAAACATCTTCAGAAAACTGGGCTGTAGGCAAGCCTATTTTCTTGATTAATGATTGATGTGGGAAGGCCAAGCCCACCATGGGTGGTGTTACCCCTGGGCAGATGGTCCCAAGTTTTATAAGAAAGCAGGCTGAACAAGCCACGATGAGCATGCCAGTGAGCAGCACCCCACCATGGCCTCTGCATCAGCTCCTGCCTCCAGGTTCCCACCCTGTTTGAATTCCTGCTCTGGCTTCTTTCAGTGCTAGACTCTGGATATGAAGGTATAAGCCAAAGCATAAACCCTTTCCTCCCCAACTTGCTTTTGGTCGTGGTGTTTCATCATAGTGATATAGCCCTAACTAAGACACCAACCAAAGTGAGTTTTGAAACTTTGAGCCGCAGGATTAGATGTTACTTTGTGCAGAGAGTGCGCTACAGGAACACCGATTTCCATCAAGACCCTCACCGTGCTCTGTGCCGTCACAATGAGGCTTCACAAGGCACAGCGGGGAGGAGTTCAAACCTCACTCATCAAGGTTCTTCATCTGCCATGCATGCAGAACAAAAGGCCACAGATTAAATACACTTTATATATGTTTACATGTGTAAATGTATTTTATATACGTACTTTTCTTTATGAATCTCGAACCCACGAAAATTGTTTCTATTGCAGCTCCTATTCAAGTGGGAATCACTTCAGTCCCCAGAGATGTTACTTTAAAGAAACGCCAGTGGTTAAAGTTCACACACTTTCCAGCAAGAGCATGCTAATAGCTTGTTAGAGTGTGTGTGTAGGGATCACTGGAATGGTTCCAGGTCATCGTTGTTGTTGTTGTTGTTTGGTAAAAACAAAGCAACCATTCATGATGTGATCAACACCGGGCAATCGTAATGCTGGGAAGCACTAAGGGAATCTGGTCTCCAAGAAAACCCCAAAAAGTATAAAAGAAGCTCTGGGAAGTATTGCATAGGAGTCTGGAGAACTTTTTTGCGTGTTATTGCACTCTGAGAACCATCACCCTCATGCATTAGAGAACTTTCCTAAACACACCCCATACTTGCTAAGGATTTTATCTGGTACCACCTTAAAGAAAGATGATATCCTTCCAAAAACACATCTCCTGGAAATTTGCACTCAGGCTTGGGATTTAGATGGCAGAGTCATATCAAATAATGGAGAAAATGGGTATCCAGAGAATTGGAGGAATATGGAAGAAATAGCATTATTATTTTAATTGAGCATAATTACCTTATTAATCAATGTTTGCATAATACTTGCTAAAGCACTTAGCTGATACATGGCTATATTTGCAATTTAATTCACCCAGAATATTTCTATTCAGCACTTATATAGCACCTATTGGTTTATGATGCTAATATAGTAGATTCATGTTTCTGTTAAGGCTTAAATGAAAGAAGTTGAAAGCCAAGTCCATTATATAACCTCCTTTATATAGAACCTTTTGTCATGAAGAATTCCAAATTGCCTTTCAAAGTACAGTGAAACCCTTTTACAGTGAATTCCTGAGGGGACAGCTTCAGCAGTGTGAGCTATGGCAGTCACTGAATGAGTGCTGTAGTCAGTGGTATGGGGTTGATGGGAAAGGGGTGCAGTGTTGTGGGGTTGACAGGGAAGGGGTGAACATTAGAATCTGGTAGCCCCTGGGAACTCAGGTGGCGTTATTTGCCAAGATGTCTAGGGTTCAGAACAAAGAAAAGATTAAACTTTGCTAATCTGATGATGTAAAGGGAACATGAAGGGCTTGAGGAGATGGCAGCATGAGTACTGAGTTCAAATCCTCAGAACCCAGTAAAGGGCTGGCCATGGGTGTATGCTTGCCTGTGCCCCCCCCCCCCAGCTACGCGGGAGCAGAGACAGAAGGGTCACTGGAGCATGCTGGCCACCAGCCTAGCTTGAGCTTCAAAGAGACCTGCTGCAAGGAAATCAGGTGGAGAGTGAGAGAATTGACATTCTCCTCTGGCACACACCCCCCACTCATACACCACGTGAACACACAGGAATGCATACAAACACACATACCAAAACCTGCACAAAGAAAGATTTCAATGCAAAGAAAGAACCACCTTCACACAGCAAGTGAGATGAGGTGTATGTATACCTTACACAGAGAACATCTCAAAAGCTCAACACTCCTTCTTTCTGTACTTCAGAAAAGTACACAAAACTGCACCATGACAGCTCACTGAATACATAAATTCAACCCATCTGTATAACTCATGGACAGTTGAGAAAATCAAATGTTACCAGGTCTCTCCTAATCATTACTCAGTCTACTGAAGACACCACTGTCTTGGCTTACACAGTAGAGGAGTTTTGCCAGTCTTCGAACTTGATACAAACAATACACAGAAGGTATTGTTTTATGATTTTTTGTTTGCTTATTTTTTTTTTTGGTTTCACTCTTTTTTTTTTTTTTTTGGTTTTTCGAGACAGGGTTTCTCTGTGTTGCTTTGCGCCTTTTCCTGGAACTCACTTGGTAGCCCAGGCTGGCCTTGAACTCACAGAGATCCGCCTGGCTCTGCCTCCCGAGTGCTGGGATTAAAGGCGTGCGCCACCACCGCCTGGCTTTGGTTTCACTCTTTAGCTCTGGTTGTCCTGGAACTTGCTCTGTAGACTAGGCTGGCCTCGAACTCATAGAGATCCACCTGCCTCTGCTTCCTAAGTGCTGATATTAATGGTGTGCACCACCACTGCCTGACTTGTGTTGGGTTCTTTTGTTCAGCCTTACGCCCATGAATTTATCCACGTAATTGTATGTAGCAATAGTTTACTGGCTCATTGAAATAGTCTATTATATAATGTACTCTAATTTTCAACCAATTCTGTTAATAAAATCAAAGATATCTCTTTAAACATGGACATGAAAGTCCTTGACAAAAATACTAGCAATATAGAAAAAAATGATTACTCACTGTGCTCAAGTGGGATTTATTCTTGAGCATGCCAGGCTGGTTTAACATCCAAGAACCAATCAGCATAGTGTGATACATGCATTAGAATAATGACCAAAGGCACATGATCATCTCAATATATACAATTCAAAAAGGCATTTGAAAAAACTCACATTCCCTTAGTACAAAATATACTCAATAAATCAAAAATAGATGATAACATTTTGAACCTAATTAAAAAACCCACAGATAATATCATGTGTAATAGTAAAAGATTGAATATTGCTCCCCTAAAATCAGAAAAAAGATAAAGCTATCTAGTGTTGTTACTTATATGCAACATTATATGCAGGATTGTCTACACAAAGCAATGTGACAAGAAAATGAAAAAAAGTGTGAAGATAGGATATGAAGAGGCAAATTTATCTCCATTTGTAGATAACAGGATTTTGTATATGAAAATTCTAAGAAACTATTAGAAGTAATCAATGAATTCAACAAATTTATGAGATATACGATCAATACACAAATACCAATTGTATGTTCTATACAGTATAAGTGAACAAAAAAATTAAGATAAAAATTCCCATTTATAAAAATAAAAAAAAAAAAAATAAAGCAGTAGTGAATTAAACAAAAAAGGTGCAAAGCTCATACCCTGAAAACAGCCAAACATTGCTGAAGACAGTCATGAAGACCTTTGTAAGGGGAGGGACATCTATGTTCATGGATAAGAAGATACAACATTGTTAAGAAGGTAACATTCTCCAGATTGGCCCATAAATTCCAATCAATCCTTTTCACAGTCTCAGCTGACTTCTTTGCGGAAATTGATAAGCTGATCTCAAAATTTAAATTCTAAAGTTCAAAGGACCGAGAACAACCATGACAATTTTGAAAAGGAAAGCAAAGTTGGAAAGCTCACGCGTCTTGACTTTAGAACTTACCGTGGAGTTAAATTACTCAGGACAGTAGGGTATCCTCACAGGGATAGATCAGTCACCTGTGATCAAAATTGAGAAACCAGGAAGGCTCTCTTGCTTCTATGGCCATCTGATTTTTGAGAAGGGTACCAAAACAAGCTCATGAGATAAATAAAGAGCAGTCCCCTTAACAAATAGTGCTGGGCCAACCGAACGTCCTCACACAAAAATGAAGTTGAACCCCCTACTTCTCAGCATATACAAAATCAACTCAACAAGGATCAGAGACCTAAAGACAAAGCAAAACAAGCAAACAAACAAAACTATAAAACTCACAGAAGAAAATGTGGGGGTAAATATCTGTTCTTTGGAAGCTTGGCTTAAGTACTGGTTTCTTACGAGGGACATCACAGCACACATGACAGTTGGGAAGTAAACAAACAGGACGTCATCATGACTAAAGCCCTTTGT